AATCTAGGAGCTTGGTGTAGTTGTTTTCCAGTCACAAGAAGCTAAATTCATCCACTCCTTAACGAGTAATAAAGCTATTCTAAGTTTCTAGAGCCTGAGGGAAGCTTAATTGTGTTTAATTTCTATTTCCACTCTGTATGTATGTTAATTGTGGTTTAATTAATATATGTATTGAGGATTGGTGCTAGTATGCCTTATTTGGATTCTGATTACTTGTATTAGATTTACCTTCAATGAATATTCAATTACCTTATAGTCCTTCTGTCTATTGTGATTGATTTTTCATGTTCTTGTTGCTTCCAATTGAATGTGCTAGGTGTCTAGGTTTGGTTGAGAGTTAAAGAACCTGTGTGAATCCAGTATAAGCTAAGTCCTAAAGCACTTTATCTAATTGACTAGTTAGGCGGCTAACAATGTTAATTAGGTACTAAAAGTGTTGGTGATCAATAGCCAGACTGTCGCCTTTCGGATCGTCAAGAAAGAGAGTTGCACCAGATAATATGCAGTATAGGATGCAATCAGTAGTTCTTCTCGAGGAGCTTGTTATTGGAAATCCTAGTCTAAATTGATTTTCAAAAACAATGTACAAAAGGGGTTTTGGTTGTTTTAAAAGTGGTGCAACAAATGTAAAGTGCAGAAAGTTAACTATTTTGGATATTTTAAATGAATGAAGAAATGTTATGGATTAAAAGGAAATTATGGTTAAACAGTCTCTTGATGATGGAAACTCAGCTATCACTGCTCTTTAGAATGATTGGGAGTTTTGGAAAACCTTTAAGTCTGAAGGAAACCCCAAGTAATCACTTAGGTCTAGTGTCTTAATTAATGAAAACTCACTTTAATCAAAGTTAATTAACATCTATTAAGACGCTACTGAAAACCACTTAGAGAGTAGATGAATGAATGATGCAAATGTCCTCTGAATGTCAACCGACAAACACAGAATACAAAGCATGCAGATTAATCACAATAATCACTGAAAATCAAATTGAACACAAGGATTCAAACTGAAATATTATATAGGTTAATCAACATTAACATTATCCAATCCAAATACAATAGAATAGTCTAAATGCCAGATTTACAATCATAAACCAAGTTTGATACAAGTGCAGAAAGTTTCTAAATCTAGAAATATTCAACACAGTATTAAACAAAGGTTTAGACTATAGAAAAACTCCCTGATTAGATCACTGAGCTTAGCCTCTCATGCCTTCAAATCAATCACAATCACTCCAGGAATGAACAGCCATGGTTAAAGCTAAAAATGAAGTTGGAAAAATGGAGAAAAAGGGTGATAGAGTGGTTTGACCGGCCCAGTAATGCAAAAAATGATGAATAGATGAAGAAAAATGGAAGTTTTAGGTGTAGGATCAATGGGGACTTAAGAGGAAATGATGGTAGCTTAGCCTTGTGCAATCTGCAGAATGGAAGAGTGTCTTTTCATGGGGGCTGCCCCCCTTAGGTATAGAAGCTCAAAAACCTATTCCAAAATGCACAACTTCACTTAACATACTTAGGTCGTGACCCCAAGAATGTAAGGTCACAACTCAGGGGGATCAGGTCGCGAATTGATAAGTTCCATGTCGCGACCCAGGAAGACAGAGAGCTCTCGTCTTGACTTGGGTCCAAAACGCGTAATTTCACTAAGAGGCATCCAGGTCGTGACCTAAGGAGTCCATGTTGTGACTTGGGGAGGCAGAACACTCCCAACTTTTGTGTTTTGGTCCTTATAACATTTTGGCTCCATCTATGCTCCATCATGATTCCTGGGTCCTTCTCCAATTATCTGAAAATCGTAACAAAAGGCTTTGTAAAGATCAGCTGATTACAAATCAAGGAAATTAAAATTTAGAAGAGAAAAATGGCCCTTTTTACCCCTTAAATAGCAAAATGCAATGCATGACTCAATGTAATCAAATGGATATAAATGCACGTATAATGAGGATAAAATTGTTGCAAAACATTAGAAAACACTTGAGCAAACCATATAAAGATTGAGTTCTATCACTCCCCCATACTTGAACCTTTGTACTCCTAGGCAAAGATTTGAATCATTCTAAAGAAAGTACAACCACAATTAGAGAGACTAGTATGTTCAAAAGTGATCTCAAGAGCTAATCGATCAACCTTTTTTTAGGAATACAAGAATGATAACATGAACAATGCCAAATAATCAGATACAAGGTGCAATTGACTCAAAATCCATGAACAACAAAGATTTGCTCACAAGGTATAAGTGTTTGAATCGCTCATCTCTCCTCATTGGGGTTCTTTTCTCTCAATTATTCAAGCAGCAAATATTCTACCATAAGCTTGTAATAACCCTAAAATCTCCACTACTATTCAGTATCCATGTAAAGAATCAAGAGGACTTTTAGGGTTATAGTGATGGAAAGGCTAAATAGAATAGAAAAAGGTGAAATCGAGTGTCAAGAATTAAAGAAATGTGAGTTAAATAATAACTATTTTTAAGCAAGGAAGTTCAGATCCCAACCTTCTATCACCAAGAGAATACTTTATTCAACTTTATTTTGCTATGATAGCTTATGTATATATAAGGAGTATTTCTTTACTCTTTTGCTTCTTCTTCTTCTTCTTCTTCTTCTTCTTCTTTCAAACTAAATAAAAGTAAAATTTCCAATTAAGACTGATGAAGATCAGGAAACTGTAATTGTCGAGACGGATTCAACTCAATTAACATCGTTGTTCAAAACATTCGAAATGGTAGAAAAAATGAAGGAAGTGTAGGCTCAAAAAATGGCTAAGCAATGGATAAATGGTTGTAGGTTGTGTTGGGGTAGAAAGGTATAGAAAAGAATGCCTCTATCATATTCAAAATCATAAATGCACATGTAATTTTGACCAAGAGCTAAAACAAGTTCTAGAGAATGTAAACCACATGAATAATCACTCGATATAGGAATCAAAGCTTAAGAATATCCTTCCAATAAGGGTTTCACATCTCAATTGCTCATACAATAAGTTTCAATCAATATGCACTGGTCACAAGGCATTAAGACACTTATCACAAAAGCAACCCTTGAGATGAGGATTAAAAAGATCAAGATAATCACTTAAGAACATACTTGAATCCCAAAAGTGACTATAAAGTCTTCATAAAAAATCATTTTCAAAATCCAGTATGCTTAAAAGTCCAAGGATGGCACGATTTTCTAGAAAAACTGTTTGATGTAATGAGGGTTTATGAAAAGGCAAAGGTTTGCTTGACAAAGATGCAAAGGTAGTTTAAAAAGGTTTCTCCTACACAGTAATGCCAAAAAGCAAAGAGAAGGTTAACGGTGCACAGCAAAAGAGTCCAGGTTGCGACCTGGATACACAGAGGCACCAGGTCAAGAAAGGGGGATGAGGTCACAACTTGAGATCATATAGGTCGCGACCTGAAATCATAGAGGGCCCTCCCTAGCTAAAGTCACTCTTCAAGTCACGACCTAAAGTCACAGAAACTACCAACGCAAAAAAGTTTCAATCTATGGCCAACAATTAACAAGTAAAAACCCTTTGAGCAAGCATCAAATGATCCAATTCACAGCAATTTACCATCTACAATCAATTCAAAGCCAAATAATGATGATCAAAGATTGGATTTTTGAAAAAAAATTTGCCAAAAATTTTGAAACAACCACAGAAATGATGCAACAAAGCAAAATGAACTCCTCCCCCACACTTAGACTTGATAGTGTCCTCACTGCCAACAGAAAAGGGAAAAAGAATTGCAGCAGCCACAAAAGAACAGAGTAAACCAACCATTCATTGCAGAAAAGTTAACATATAAAGGAAATGTAGCTTTTGAGTACCAAGATTATAGGACAGAGCAATAACAAAAAAAATGAAAAGAAAAACACAGAAACAAAAAAAAGCAAAAAGCTTCCAGCAGCAAAGGTTTCAATCGTCCTCCGCTCTTCTTTCTTCTTCAGCCCTGACATCTTCCCCTGCTTGGACATTAGCTTCTCCCATTTCAGCATCAGTAGGAGCAATAGCAAAAACACCAGAAGATTGCCCCAGACCCTCACTAAAAAAGCTGGTGGCAGGAATGGTGTTCTCCCAGAAAGCCTGTTCATACTCTCGAAGAAAGTTGACCTTAAGAGCCCTGGCCATCTCCAACATTAAAGGATCCATAAACCTCTACCTTCTGAACTCGTGAGACATAGAGATAGCTTTGTATGTGTCAAACTCCTCGCTTAGGTTTATCACTTGTTGATTGAGTTCGGTAATCTGATCATTCAAAGAGGCGAGGTTGAAACTAGAGCCACCCTCAGCTGCCTTTTCTTCTGGTTCTTCCCCAATCACCCTTTTTCCTCTCTTCCTTTCTCTGTTGGATTTGGAGGCGACATAGCATCTGGTCGTGAGAGGGTCCAAGAGAGAGTCAGAGTGGCATGTTGGTATCTCATGTGTTGTACACATATCAGTAACCAAGTGCAAAAATACCATAAGAGTTCAGACATTATTGATATAGCGATCAATCTGGTCTAGGGCAATAATAGAAATATCAACTGGCAACATGGTCATCAGGAGATATAGCAGAAGTGCACCCTCTTCAGAAACATCAGAAATGTGTGCTGATGGCATCACAATATAAACCATGAAGTTCAGCCAAATCCTGGCTTCATCATTCATGTACTTGCACTCGAAGACTTTCTGCCCACTTTCCTTTATGGTCCGCCCAGCTTCCCTTGTCCTGATGGTTTGGAAGACCTTTACCCAGGGAACTTTAGTAAGTCTGATCTTCCATCGCTGGTACTCATAGACAGGGACATCAGGTAACTTGTAGAACTTCTCAATAGCCTTCCGAGTTAAGAAACATTCACTGCCTTTGAAAGTGATCCCCCTATGTCCGTCCATAGCAGAGCAAGTGTAGAATTCCCTCACTAATGTCAAATTGGCTTTGTTCCTCTTCTTCATATGTTCCTCAAGGCCCTTTTGTTTGGCAAGCTCATAAAAAGGGTACTACTGTGTTTGTGGAAAATATCACTCTTAAACTACCCCCTATTGGCAAATAATTCCACAACTTTCTTCCTTGGAAGTCTAGTCTCCTCACGAGGGCGAAACTTCTTCTTCGAGCCTGAAGACTCGAGTTTTTTGGTATGAGGCATCTGGACACAAAGCAAACAACCAGCAAGCAACCAAAGTAAACACACAAAACAAACAAACCTAGGAAAAGAAACTACTACACTAAGCCCAGAAACCAAGTACTCCCCTATATTAGGCCTACATTTACCCATTGTGAGACTCACTTAAGCAAAATAGTTGAAGATTTTGAACAGGGACATTTACATTTTAAAACCATTAGGAAATTCATGAGAAAACCCAAGTATTCATAATTTTCAATTGCCCCAAAATCTATTTCTTGCTAAACCTTGATGTGTAATGTCAAGATCCAATAAGAAATTACAGTTTTGAAATAACAGAGGTGAATCAGGGGTTTAAAACCTCCTTTGTGAGCTCATATCACGACCTGAGAATAGTGAGGTCACGAATTAAGCAAACAGAGGGAATTTTGAATTCAGAAAGGTTTGAGGTCGTGACCTGAACCCAGAAAGTTGAGAAAATACAGCATGAACCAGTTTGCTCAAAACCAAATCCATTTCAAAAAATACAGTCCCAAGCGGTTTGAAAATTAGTTAAACAATATTTTCAACATCCAGTAATACTACACTCAACCAAAATCAAAGCCCTGACAAAAACAACACTATCTACCCACAAAAATGCAAAAAACTAAACCAGAAAGAACAGAAAAATTGAAAATGAAATGGGAAGATTAAACAGACCTTGAGAGAGTAGAAGGATAGAAGGATTGAATGCAAGGTGGAGATAGGATTGTTCACGAACTATAGGAGGTGGATTTCACAGTGGAGGCACTCAGAAGTTACAGAAACAGAAGAATAGAACAACTGAACGATTGGAGAAGGAGCAAACCATTAGAAAAGACTGAGTAGTCGTGACTTTGAAGGGAATTTGAAAAGCTGTGACTGTTAAAGAATCGAAGATAGGGAGTCGTTGAAGGGAATTGAAAGACGACGCGCAGCGGAAAACAACACAAAATTTTAAAACTTTCAATCCCTTGCCCGGATCTACCGATCGCGTTTAAGTCAGGTAGTAAGAAGTATTACCTTCGGTGTTCGGTTTCCGAGTGGCTTGGTGATTCCGCCGTTCAGGATGCCTCTGCTCACCTCCTTTATCGTTCAAAGTCGACAACTCCGGTCGGCTTCCTCTACCGGTATCCACACGAGTAGCCCTCAACCTCGAACGACGTGCTAGCGTCTATGTCCGTCTAGGGTTTTCAGAGAATCCGTCCACTCTTATCTCTCTTAGGCCGTCTCTTATCTGTTGGTACTCTCACACCTAAAACCCTAGCTCCTCATATCAAATATATAGGATGCTATAGGTTTAATGAATAATATTTAATTTCAAAATTAACTCTAAATTAATTCCGAAATTAATACAATATCAAATATTGCCTAATCAGATAAGAGAACAATTAAATAAATATGGTTTAAATTAAATCCGTCTCACAGATTTAATTCACTTATTTATTTAATAAAGAGATGACGGAATTAATTTATATATTTAATTTATCCTTATAAATTAAATCTAACAATTAATATCTCTTATATTTATATAATAATATATATATATACGAATATATATATATACACGTCCACCCTATTTATTCATTGAATCTGGACATATCCTAGATTCAATGAATCTGGACATCATAACTCGTGTTGGGCTATTTTGTGTGCGACCCTGTAGGCCCATATGAAGTTGGCAGTGGGCCATTAACTATAATGACTCACAAGTCGTAAGCGGTCTCTAGCAAGACATCACGACTACCCAAATCATATGAGGATCGTTGAACGATGTAACCTTTCATACAACCATATCGCGTCCCTTTTGTCACACGACATTTTGGTCATGGACGAGGCATGGAGAACGTCATCCTCCTATTCATGACCGTTACTTTCTCGATCCCTGAGTAGTCTGAGTATAGAAATGGAACTACCTTTCCATTATAGTATGGCCATACATTTCTCAGACTCACTCATCGAGGGGCCCAGTAATGTCTCTCTACAAATGTGAGGGACAAATTCCATCTTGACCATTCACATTCCTCCGCATGAAAAACCACTAAGCCTGAACATAGTCTTTATGATCACTCGGTCAAAAGTGACTTTTGACTAGGTCAAAGCTAAGCGTCTCTCATGTAGGAATCCATGATGATCTCAGGTCAAAGGGCACAGTGACATGGTTTGTATATGAGAGAAGCTTATGACTTAACCCATGCAGCTCTCTCATAGCGGGTCAGTCCAACACCTTGTACTCTTACATGTGCCTATGACTTTAATTTATATCTCTATATATCTTTAAAGTCATACTGGTCTTATTTCATCTTTGCTCCCACATAGATGACCGACCAGGGACATTTAGGATAAACCATGAGTTATCCAAGGATAGTCATCACAGTAAACATGCAAATAATATGATAACGTAATTAATAAATTCATAAATGAACAATGTTCAAAACATAATGATTGGCCCCTAGGGCACAATTTCCAACAGTCGTGACTTCAGGAATAGAGCAGTCATGGGAGGAGAGAGTTGAATGTGGGGGGAAAGAACATGGGAAATGAATTGAAGGGAGGGTTAAGTGGTTTTACAAAAGAAGGCCTAGGGTTTTTTTAAGTTTGGAATGAATGGAACTTGAGTTCAGGGTAGGTTCAGTGGCAAAATGGTAACAAGAGTGGAAATAAGTGGGGGTAAAGAGGTGAACACGAAGGAAAAACACTAACTTTTCATGTCAGGTCGTGACCTGATGTAAGTGAGGTTGCGACTTAACCAGAGAAAGGGGGATTTTGGGGTTTTAGAAAAAGCTCCAGGTCGCAACCCAAAACAACCGAAGTCACGACCTGAACTCACAGAGTACCTCTACCCATTGTCTTCCCCAAGTTGCGACTTGAACACACAAAGAGCTCCCAACTTAGACTAACCTCCCAGGTCACGACCTGAAAACAATGAGGTCGCGACTTGAGTGCAAGTTTCCAAACTGACCAGGATGATAGTAAATTGCAATCGAGATATATATTCCTCCTGAATAATGGAGTAGTAAGCTAAAAGAGCTCTAAGCAGGGCACTATAGCGGATTCTATAACGGAAGTTGAGTATATAGCAGCATCTGATGCAGCTAAGGAAGCCATTTGGATTAGGAAGTTCATTACTGAACTTGGGGTGATTGATTTAGCCCAATTATTCTATGTTATTTCATATCATTTTAAGGGTATTTATCATAGATTTTGGCTCCTTTTGATGATAATTGTGCTTAATTTAGATTAAGAGTCCTTGCTTTGAGTTAGTGTCTTTTTGAGGTTAAGATTGTCATAATTGGTTATTAATTGTATTCAGTTGATTTCTAGGACAATTGATGCTTCAAATTGTTACTTTTTATTGTAGGACAATTGAGAATTGGAGCCAAGATCAAAGACCAAAGGATGACACAACATAAGATCAGAGTATCAGCACTAATAGAGTTCGTCGCGGCGAAGAGAATTGAAATCTCACCAGTAATCTCTCGGGCAGAGTTCGTCGTGGCCAACTTACAGCTTTGCCGCGGTGAAATCACAAGATTAGGCGGAGCTCGCGGTGAACTCTTCGTATCAGCAACGCCAGATCCGGATCAGAACGCGAAAATGGAGCTTCTAATCATATGATCCGACCCAGATGGACCCCTAAAACCCTTAGAAACCCTATTTTCGACCATACACTCCATTCCATCTCCTACAACACCTCTATTCTCCCATCCTCTTGCCTCTCCACCTCCATCTTCTTCCCCATCCATTTCCTTCATCTTTCATTCACTCCATCTCAATTCCTTCCACTCCCAGCTACCATGGCCGACGGATTCACTTCAATTGGAGCTTTTCTTGAAGCTATGGAGAGCTAGGGTTTATCAACTCTTGAAGAATGGTGGTGTAGCATGAGTTCTTGAGCTTCAAAGGGGAGTTTAGTTTCAGTTTGCAATTTTTAGCTATGATTTATGGCTTTCTAGGTCTAGGAGTTGTAATTTCTTAGTTAGGAACTTGGGACTGATACTGTAATTATTGGTTAATGATTACATTTGTAATTTGGATTGATTGATGTTGAACTTTGTGCTTAAATATATGTAGTTGCATATATGCTTATTGTAACTCTCATGATTCTCTCTTATCTTGCATAGTTGTGTTTGGGTATTGAGTTGATTGTGTGTTTCATTAAGCCAATTGCATGATCATTCCAAAATTACACATTAGGGAAGCTTAACAAAGTTTTCATTAATGAGTTCATTAATGTAAGCTTTGGACTCAATGAGTTATTGAGGTTGTTATTAAGAAAACCTAATGATTTGTGAAACTCCTAATATTTTAAGTGAACTATGATTGCCATCAAAGCCATTTTCAAGAGATTTCCTATCATTCATTTCCATTCCATCATTATTATCTTAAAACACCAAAAATATAGTATCTTAGGTTTGTTTTCATTGCATTTAGTTTAGGCACCATTCATTTAAGTCTTAAAAACCCAAAACCCCATTTCATTGCATTGCATGGCATTTAGTCTAGCTTAGGTAATTAATAAAGGCTCCCAAAAGTGAAACGACCCGAGTTTGCACTATACTGCATAGCTTGGATTAAATTTTGATTGAGAACCCCAAGGTGAACGATAACAAAGGCTCTCTTTCAGTGATACCTACTATCTCAGATCCAATAACTTTGTTCTGTGACAACAGTGGTGCCATTGCACAGGCCAAAGAGCCTAGGTCACATCAAAGGACCAAGCATATACTCAGGCGATTTCATCTCATTAGAGAAATCAATGATAGAGGTGATATAAAAATATGCAAAGTAGCGGGAGAAGACAATATTGCTGATCCTCTAACAAAGCCGCTTATGCAGGCAAAGCATGAGCATCATGTTAGGTCAATAGGAATTAGACAAATTAATGATTGTACCTAGTGCAAGTGGGAGGATGTTGGAAATTGTGCCCTAGGGACCAATCATTGTGTAATGAACATTGTTGATTTATGAATTTCTTAATTATGTTATCATATTATTTGCATGTTTACTGTGATGAATATCCTTGGATAACTCATGATTTTATCCTAAATGTCCCTGGTCGGTCATCTATATTAGAGCAGAGATGAAATAAGACCAGTATGACTTTGAAGATGTATAGAGATATAAATCAAAGTCATAGGCACATGTAAGAGTACAAGGTGTTGGACCGACCCGCTATGAGAGAGCTGCATGGGTTAAGTCATAAGCTTCTCTTATATACAAACCATGTCACTGTGCCCTTTGACCTGAGATCATCATGGATTCCTACATGAGAAACGCTCAGCTTTGACCTAGTCAAAAGTCACTTTTGATCGAGTGATCATAAAGACTATGTTCAGGCTTAGTGGTTTTTCATATAGAGGAATGTGAATGGTCAAGATGGAATTTGTCCCTCACATTCGTAGAGAAATATTACTGGGCCCCTCGATGAGTGAGTCTAAGAAATGTATGGCCATACTGTAATGGAAAGGTAGTTCCATTTCTGTACTCAGACTACTCAGGGATCGAGAAAGTAACGGTCAGGAATAGGAGGATGACGTTCTCCATGCCTCATCCATGACCAAAATGTCGTGTGACAAAAGGGACATGATATGGTTGTATGAAAGGTTACATCGTTCATCGATCCTCATATGATTTGGGTAGTCGTGATGTCTTGCTAGAGACCGCTTACGACTTGTGAGTCATTATAGTAAATGGCCCACTGCCAACTTCATATGGGCCTACAGGGTCACACACAAAATAGCCCAACACGAGTTATGATGTCTAGATTCATTGAATCTAAGATATGTCCATATTCAATGAATAATCTAGGGTGGACGTGTATATATATATAAATTCGCGTATATATATATATTATATGATATAAGAGATATTTATAAGATTTGATTTATAAGGATAAATTAAATCTATATCATTTTTTTAAAATTGACAAGGTATAATATCTAATATTTGATTTATTAGAATAAATCAAATTTAATTCCGTCATATCTTTATTTTGAATTAAATAGGTGAATTAAATCTGTAAGATGGATTTAATATAAAAACCGTATTTATTTAATTAATTTCTTATCAGATTACGCAATATGTGATATTGTATTAATTTCGGAATTAATTTAGGATTAATTCTGAAATCCAATATCCTTAGCGTCCTATATATATTTGATATTAGGAGCTAGGGTTTTGGGCGTGTGAGGGTGCAAAACGTTTGCAGATAAGAAACGACCAATAGAGAGACGGTGAGGACGGATTATCAAAAACCCTAGAAGGACAAGAGCTGCTAGCACATCGTTCGTGATTGGAACACTGTTCGTGTGGATACCGGTAGAGGAAGCCAATCTAAGTCGTCAACTTCTCACGATCAAAAGAAGAGCATAGGCATCCTGAATGTCGGAATCCCCGAGCCACCATCGATTCGAATACCGCAGGTAACACCTCTTACCACTTGACTTGAATACAATTGGTAGATCCGAGCAAGGAATTGAAAAATTTTAAAGTTAATTTCTGCTGCGTGTCTTTCAATTCCTTTCAAACTTGAGTGCACAGAGAGGCTTTGACATTCTAGACCCTGAAAAACTTCAAACCTAAGTCCCTAAACCAAAATTACTTACCAGAATGCCTACCATAACAACCCAACTCATCAATCCATCATCAAATTCTTAACAAATCAAAACAAAACTCCAAAAACAAGTGATGGAAGATTAGGAAAAACTTTCAAAAGTTCAAAAAAAAATTTTCAAAATTTTGGTAAATTTTAGCAAGAACTACGCATAACAAGGCACAACCCAATAACCAAAACACAAAACCGCTTTTAAGAGTTCCCTCCTCCACACACTCAAAGCAATGTCCACATTGCGGCACACAGTCAAACCAAAGCACAAAGCCAAAACACAAAACAACGAAGGTGGAAGTTGTGAAGTTCAGTTCAAGACTGAAGCACAACATGTCACCCTTCTAGAGAGAGGAAAAGAGCTAAGCGTAAAGGTGGGTAAACTCAAGAATGTGAAGAAGTGTGTGGTGGTGACTACTTCTACTGAGGCCATCCCTTCCACAGTCTCTAAAATTCACAGCAAGATAATTTAAGCACAAGTAAATTCACGTGAATAGTAGAAGCAAAGGAAAGGGACGACCTGGCCTTAAGAAGGCGGTGCGGGCTCTTCATAGAGCTTGAGGAGATGACCGTTACACGGAAACATTTTGCCCATGGCCTCTTCCTTGAACTTTATCACCCCAAAGTTATGCACTTTCATCATAATATAGGGTCCATCCCAGCTTGTCTTGAACTTACCCTTCTTAAATTTGAATCAAGCTTGATACCTCAACACCTTGTCACCCTCCTTAAACTTCTTTCTCAAGATGTTGGCATCACGGACAAGCTTGGTTTTCTGCTTGTAGATGTTTGAACTGTTATAGGCGTCTAACCATATTTCTTCAAGTTCTTGAATTTGAAGGAGTCGATTTAGGCCAGCTTCCTCCAAATCAGCATTGCAGCTCTTAACTGCCCAATATGATTGATGCTCCAGCTCTACCGGAATGTGGCAAGACTTACCATAGATGATCTGATACGGAGACATACCAATTGGGGTCTTGTGGCCAATACGATAGGCCCACTGTGTATAATCTAGTCGCAAGCTCCAGTCTCTGTTGGACGGCTTGACAATCCATTCCAAGATGCGTTTGATCTCTTGATTTGATACTTCAGCCAAACCATTAGTTTGAGGATGATAAGGGGTGGACACTGTAGGAAACCCCATATTTTGCCAACAAGTTATTGAGCAACTTGTTGCAGAAGTGAATTCTCTAATCACTGATTAGCACTTTAAGTACCCCAAATCTACTAAAGATGGTAGACTTCAGAAATTTAAAAACCGTAGGTGCATCATCTTTACATATGGGGATGGCTTCTACCCACCTAGAGAGGTAATCTACAGTTAGGAGAATGTAGGTGTAACCATGGGAAGGTAGAAAGGGGCCCATAAAATCTGTCCCCTAAGCGTCAAAGATCTCACAAAATAAAATAGGTTGCTGTGGCATTTTGTTCCTTCTACTAACCCCCCAAACCGTTGGCATTTATCACATGCCTTACAACCAGTGAATGCGTATCTAAATAAGATGGGCTAGTAAAATCCTGCATCTAAAACCTTCCTAGCTATTTTTCTAGTACTGAAGTGCCCTCCACACAAGGTATCATGGCAAGCCTCCAGAATGGCTTGAGCTTCTACTTCTGGAATGCACCGTCTAATCACTTGGTCAGAACATAACCTCCCTAGGTGTGGTGGATCCCAAATATAATAGAAAGCTTCGCTCCTAAGCTTTTGAGCCTGAAAGGTGGTCAAGTGAGAAGGGATTAGACCAGTAGCAATATAGTTAACTAAGTGAGCAAACCATGGTTAAGAAGCAAACAATACACATAGAGATTGGTCAGGGAATGAATCACAAATAATATCAGAATCAAGTACTCCCTTGGTTTCTAAAGGTAGTCTACTCAGGTGGTCTACCACATGGTTGACATTTTCAGCTCTATCTTTCACTTCCACATCAAATTCTTGAAGTAATAACATCCACCTCAAGAGCCTCGGCTTCGATTGAGGTTTGTGGAAAAGGTATTTCACTACAGCGTGATCTGTAAACACAACCACTTTGGAATTTATTAGATATGGTCTAAACTTATCAAGTGCAAAAACAATTGCAAACAATTCCTTCTCAGTAGTGGTATAGTTTTTCTGAGCTGCATCTAGAATTTTAGAGGCATAAGCAATCACTTTCAAAATAGAATTCTCCCTTTAACCCAACATTACCCCCACACTCAAGTTCGAAGCATCACAAGAAATTTTGAAAGGCAAATCCCAATTGGGAGAGGTCAAAATAGGAGGAGTAACTAACCTATTCCTCAATTCATCAAAAGCAAGCTCACATGCATTGTCAAACTGAAAATCAACATCTTTTTACAGCAAATTGGAAAGAGGTAAAGCAATTTTACTGAAGTCCTTGTGATTGAACCCAATTGTTCTATGTTATTTCATATCATTTTAAGGGTATTTATCATAGATTTTGGCTCCTTTTGATGATAATTATGCTTAATCTTACTTTGAGTTAGTGTCTTTTTGAGGGTAAAATTGTCATAATTGGTTATTAATTGTATTCAATTGATTTCTAGGACAATTGATGCTTCAAATTGATGCTTTTTATTGTAGGACATTTGAGAATTAGAGCCAAGATTGAAGACCAAAGTATTACACAACATGAGAGTTTCCAAGAAAATGCTATGCTATGGCAAAAAGTCTGAAAATGTGCATCAGTGACTATTCTGGAATAGTTCGCAGCGGTAAACTCTCAAAATCTCACCAAAATTCCCTTCTGGAATAGTTCACCATGGTGAAAGGAAGGGTTTGTCAAGGCAAAGATGTCTTGAGGGGGAGAATGGAATCTGGTTCAACATGCTACGCTACAGCGAAACACAGTTGGCCACGACAAAGGTGTCCCGAGAGAGGTTCTCACTGAAATTTGATAAGTTGGCCAAGGCAAAACAAGGAGTTGGCCGCAGTGAAATGTCACAGACAACGAGAAAACCAGAACAATACAGCAAAAACACAAAGCAACAGAAGCTCAAAAATGCAAAGAATGCTATGAAATGTATGAAACTATATGGAAAAATCAAAATCAAAATCAAGATAATTGTTTGTACATCACAAAATTTTTATGCAATGCAAAACCTATTATGCACAATGCAAAAATGTAACCTAAGAGACTCACAAAACCCCAACCAACTAAAGTTGATAATTAACTAGCCTAGGGAACCACTTAATGGTCCCTGGCAACGGTGCCATTTGATGAGGACCTTTGCCGTTCGCCTTAGGGTTCTCAATCAAAAATAAATCCAAGTTATGTAGTATAGTGCAAACTCAGGTCGTTTCACTTTTGGGAGCCTTTATTAATTACCTAAGTTAGACCAAATGCCATGCAATGTAATGAAAGGGGGTTTGGTTTTTAAGATTTAAATGAATGGTGACCAAACTAAATGCAATGAAAACATACCTAAGTTACTATATTTTTGGTATTTTTGGATAATGATGATGTAATGGAAATGAATAATAGGAAATCTCCTAAGAATGGTTTTGATGGCAATCATAGTTCACTCAAGATATTGGGAGTTTCACAAATCCATTAGGTTTTCTTAATAACAACCTCAATAACTCATTGAGTCCAATGTTTAAATCAATGAACTTCATTAATGAAAACATTGTTAAGCTCTCCTAATGTGTAATTTGAGAATGATCACGCAATTGGTTCATTGCAACCCAAAATCAACTCAATATCAAAACATGACCATTTCAGATAAGAGAGAATCAAGAGAGTTACAAGGAAACATATATGTAACTACATATATTGAAGCACATAATTCAACATTAACCAATCTAAACTACAAATGTAAATCATTAACCAATGATTACAGTAACAATCCCAAGTTCTTAACTAAGAATTTACAACTCCTAGACCTAGAAAGCCATAAATTATAGCTAAAAATTGAAAACTGAAACTAAACTCCCCTTTGAAGTCTGGAAACTCATGCCACACCACCATTCTTCAAGAGTTGATAAACCCTAGCCCTCCATAGCTTCAAGAAAAGCTCCAACCGAAGTGAATTTGTCAACCATGGCAGCTGGGAGTAGAAGGAAATGAGATGGAATGAAGAAAAGGTGAAGGAAATGGATGGGGAAGAAGATGGAGGTAGAGAGGCAAGAGGATGAGAAAATAGAGGTGTTATTGATGATAGAATAGAGCGATTGGTTAAAAATAGGGTTTCTAAGGGTTTTAGAGGTCCATCTGGGTCGGATCATATGAGTAAAGGGTCTATTTTTGCGTTCTGGATCCGAATCTGACGTTACTGATGCAAGAGAGTTTGCCGCGGCGAACTCAAAAGTTTACCATGGTGAACTATTCTAGAAGGGAATTTTGGTGAGATTTTGAGAGTTCGCCGAGGCAAACTTAGTTAGATTCAGATCTAGAATGCAAAAATGGACCCTCTACTCGTATGATCTAACCCAGATGGACTCTTAAAACCCTTAGAAACCCTATTTTTGACCAATCACTCCATTCTATCATCAATAACACCTCTATTCTCTAATCCTCTTGCCTCTCCACCTCCAACTTCTTCCCCATCCATTTCCATCACCTTTTCTTCATTCCATCTCATTTCCTTCTACTCCCAGCTGCCATGGCTGACGAATTCACTTCGGTTGGAGCTTTTCTTGAAGCTATGGAGGGCTAGGGTTTATCAACTCTTGAAGAATGGTGGTGTGGCATGAGTTTCCAGACTTCAAAGGGGAGTTTAGTTTCAGTTTTCAATTTTTAGTTATAATTTATGGTTTTCCAGGTCTAGGAGTTGTAAATTGTTAGTTAAGAACTTGGGATTGTTACTATAATCATTGGTTAATGATTTACATTTGTAGTTTGGATTGGTTAGTGTTGAATTCTGTGCTTCAATATATGTAGTTACATATATGTTTTCTTGTAACTCTCTTGATTCTCTCTTATCTTATATGGTCATGTTTTGATATTGAGTTGATTTTGGGTTGCAATGAACCAATTGCATGATCATTCTCAAATTACACATTAGGAGAGCTTAACAATGTTTTCATTAATGAAGTTCATTGATTTAAATATTGGACTCAATGAGTTATTGAGGTTGTTATTAAGAAAACCTAATGGATTTGTGAAACTCCAAATATCTTGAGTGAACTATGATTGCCATCAAAACCATTCTCAGGAGATTTCCTATCATTCATTTCCATTCCATCATCATTATCCAAAAATACCAAAAATATAGTAGCTTAGGTTTGTTTTCATTGCATTTAGTTTGGTCATTGATTTAAATCTTAAAAACCAAACCCCCTTTCATTATATTGCGTGGCATTTAGTCTAGCTTAGGTAATTAATAAAGGCTCCCAAAAGTGAAACGACCCGAGTTTGCACTATACTGCATAACTTAGATTTATTTTTGATTAAGAACCCCAAGGCGAACGGTAAAGGTCCTCATCAAATGGCGCCGTTGCCGAGGAGCCATTAAGTGGTTCCCTAGGCTAGTTAATTGTCAACTTTAGTTTATTGGGGTTTTGTGAGCCTCTTAGGTTACATTTTTGCATTGTGCATAATAGGTTTTGCATTGCATAAAAATTTTAAGATGCACAAACAAAGATCTTGATTTTGATTTTGATTTTTCCATATAGTTTCATACATTTCATGACATTCTTTGCATTTTTGAGCTTCTGTTGCTTTGTGTAACATCTAGACTTTTGAGCCTAGAAGCATCAAAAGTAGCCTGAATTAGATAGGCTACCAGACCCTTTTTGAGCAGAAGTCCCAAAGATGAGAAAGGAAGTCAAAGCAGTTTCAGGGACTAAACTGCAAAGTAAAAGTTTTTCAGGGGCTTCAGTATAATCAAGATCAGAGACTCCAGTAAAGTCTCGAAGGCCTAGAGAGAGAAAAGAGACTAGATATAGGCCAAAGGTTAAGTTAGAAGCCTCAAAGAGAGGATTATATGAAGTTAAATCCAAGTAGGGACTAAACTGTAAATTCAAAAAGTTATGACCAGCAAGGGCAAAAATGGAAGAGTGTACAGAAAATTCCAAGAAAATCCTGAAAAATGGGAAATAATATTCTAAGACTCTTCTATAAAGAGAAAAGATGAAAATACCCCTGAGATAGCTTAAATGGAATTTATGAGGTTATGGCCAGTAAAAAGTACATTGTTTGA